TGGAATATACGCAAGGCTTCCCATACTAGCTGACTTTCTACTCAAAGCATCAGCCACCACATTGGCATTACCGAAATGATACAAGATGGTGATATCATAGTCTTTCAATAGCTCCAACCACCTCCTCTGCCTCAGATTTAGCTCCTTCTGCTTGAACAAATACTACAAACTCTTGTGATCCATGAACACCTCACACGACACGCCATATAGATAGTGCCTCCAAATCTTCAGCGCGTGAGCAATGGCTGCTAGCTCCAAGTCATGAACTAGATAATTCTTCTCGTGGATCTTTAACGGTCGCGAAGCATATGCAATGACCTTGCCACCCTGCATCAATACAACACCAAGTCCAATACGAGATGCGTCACAATATAGTGTATAAGGCCCTGAACCCGTGGGTAATACCAACACCGGTGTCGTAATCAAAGCTGTCTTGAGCTTCTGAAAGCTCGCCTCACACTCGTCCGACCACTTGAACGAGGCACCCTTCTGAGTCAACCTGGTCATCGGGTCTGCTATAGATGAAAACCCCTCCACAAGCCGACGGTAATAACCCGCCAAACCCAAGAAACTCCGAATCTCTGTAGCTGATGTGGGCCTAGGCCAGTCCTTGACTGCCTCAATCTTCTTAGGATCCACCTGAATACCCTCTGCTGATACAACGTGACCCAAGAAGCAACTGAACTCAACCAAAACTCACATTTCGAAAACATAGCATATAACTGGTTGTCTCTCAGAGTCTGAAGAACGACCCGAAGATGCTGCTCATGCTTCTCTCGACTACAGGAGTAGATCAAGATATCATCAATAAAAACAATCATGAAGGAATCCAAATAGGGCTTGAACACATGATTCGTTAAATCCATGAACACTGCTGGGGTATTTGTCAACCCGAATGACATCACTAGAAACTCATAATGCCCGTACCGAGTGCGAAAAGCTGTCTTAGGGACATCGATGCCCTAATCCTCAACTGATGGTAGCCAGACCTCAAATCAATCTTCGAAAACACCTTGGCACCCTGAAGCTGATCAAATAAGTCATCAATCCACGGCAATGGATACTTGTTCTTGATGGTATTTTGTTCAACTGCCGATAATCTATGCACATCCTCATCGATCAATCCTTTTTCTTTACAGACAACACTAGCGCACCCCAAGGCGAGATACTGGGCCTAATGAAGCCCTTATCAAGCAAATCTTGCAACCGCTCCTTTAATTCTTTCAACTCTGGCGGGGCCATACGGTATGGCGGAATAGAAATAGGCTAGGTGCCCGAAGTCAAATCAATGCAAAAGTCAATATCCCTGTCCGGCGGCATCCCCGGCAGGTCTGCAGGAAATACCTCTAGAAACTCACAAACCACTGGTACGGAATCAATCGAAGGAACCTCCGCACTGAATCACGAACATAAGCCAAATAATTCAAGCACCCCTTCGCGACCATACGCCGAGCCTTCATATAAGAAATGACCCTGCTAGTAGAATGACCAGGAGTCCCTCTCTACTCCAACGAGGCAACCCCGGCAAGGCTAAGTTCACGGTCTTGGCGTGACAGTCCAGTATAGCATGATAAGGTGACAGGCAATCTTTCCCCAAAATGACATCGAAGTCAACCATATCGAGAGTAGGATATCTACACTAGTCTCAAAACCCCTAATAATAACCACACACGAGCGATAAACACGATCTACAATAATAGAATCATCCACTAGTGTGGACACATATACAGGAGCACTCAAAGAATCACGAGGCACAACTAAATACGAAGCAAAGTAAGATGGCACATAGGAGCATATAGACCCTGGGTCAAATAGAACTGAAGGATCTATACTGCAAACTGAAACCGTACCTATGATAATGGCATCGGATGCCTCAGCCTCAGGCCTGGCTGGGAAAGCATGACATCGGGGTTAGGCCCCACCACTCTAAACTATATCCCTGGGACGGCCTCCTGCTGGCTGGCCTCCACCTCTAGTGGCCTGACCTCCAACTCTAGCGACCTGACCTCCACCTCTAATACCTTGACCTCCTCCTCTAGCTGCCTGACCCCTACCTCTAGCTGGCTGGACGGGCGGTGGAATACCCGATGCCGGAACCATGGCACGAAAACACTGATGTTGAGAACTGCTCGATGCTCGAGGGAAAAATCTAGCAATGTGCCTCGGATCGCCACAAGTATAACAAGACCTCGGCTACTGAGACTGCTGACCTTAAAACTGACCTTGACGACCTGAGTAACCACCCTGAAAACTCTGGAGCGAAGGTGCACTGATAGGAGCTGGTGATGCACTCTAGGGTAGCTGATCAGAATACTGCATATGAGAGCCACAGCCACCTGAAGCACGGTGAGAAGCCTTAAGTGCTGAATGGAACGGCTTGGGAGGATGGCCTCTTGATGTTTTGCTTAAAGTATACATATTTGTATGGATATCACCTTATATATTGCTTTTGTTTTGTGGATTTAGGATGTGAAATATGTTAATTTATGTTAATTTGATGCGTTTTCGCGCGTAGGAATGATCCGGGAGCAATCGGGGGTGGAATGTGCAAAATTAGAGCCAAAACGAACGAAAACAGGGAAAGGGGACATTTCAGCACCACAGGTGGCACCCAGCCCTACTTGTGGCGCCAGAAACAGAATCTTAAACATTTCAGCATCGTGGAGGGCGCCAGTGATGTGAAAGTTATCCAATTTCGCCTGGGACACGGTTATTTCGGCCCTAGACCTACACAACACGTATAAAAGCAAGACTAAACTTATTTGTGAGGGGGAGACGCCACTTTTGAGAGGGAATACACACGAGAAACATCCGGGAGCAAGAAAATATCAGATTTTTTCATCTTTTTCTAGTATTTACAATTATTCCAAACTTATGAAATTGTTTGCTAATATCATGAGTGGCTAAAAACCCATTGTTCTGGGGTTGTGATTTAGCCATATTATTGTTGTTTAACGTTGACTTAAACTTGATTATAATTCACTACTATATGGTTATTTCTTCAATTCTGTGATTAATTGCTTAATTGGATAGCCAGCAGTTAGGTTCTCTTTACTATCTATGCTATGCTTGGGAAACCCGCGTTTAGATTAGAGAAGAATTGAAGAGAGCGTGATCTTAACCCTTATAGGGAGCGGATTTGTGGTTAGGATAGGAATATACCTAGTCACCGTGCTTAATTAAATATCATAATCTTAATACATTCTTAATTTATTGATTTCATAGGAATATAGGAGTTAATCTATTTTGAATAGGCGAGTAGCACTTCGGGAGAAGGCTATGAGAGCAATTATCGATTAATTAGCAACCATGATTGAATTATATGAGAGGGAGAATTAACTAGAACATAATAGGATTGGTGAATCGATCACAACCTTGGAATATTTGTCTTTATTGAATACATAACAATCATTTTATTGCTTGGTAATTTAGTTAGAAATTAGGATTATAGTTTAGTATAATCACATTCTTGAACTTGATTGTGGCTTGACCGAATAACAATCGTGGTGATTTTAGTGGGTAGTTGATACAAGTCTCTGTGGGTTCAACACTTGACTTATCATTTTCTTACTTGTGCAACCTTGTATACTTGCGTGTGCGATTGGGAGCAACAAGTTTTTGGCGCCGCTGCCGGGGACTTAAATATTAACTACTTTCTAGTTTTTTCTTTAATTATTTATTTAGTCAAGTCTAACGTTGCTTGATTGTTGCTCGGATCTTAGGAACTTTGATTGAATGCATAGGGTCAGAAGCCAGGACCGACTTCAAGGCTTTGACCCTAAACCTGAGAGAAAATTTCACAGGAGGTTGAGGGAAGCAAGGGATACGAATAATATTCAAGCACTCGTTCAATTTCCTAGGAACATGCCAGAGGAGCAACAAATGGCTGTTCAGGAGGTGGCGATGCCCAATATTGCCAATATCACCTCTAGCATTGTGAAGCCTAGAATCGCAGGACACTTTGAGCTGAAACAAAGCATGATCCAGCTACTTCATGCGAATGGGCAGTTAATAGGTCTTCCACACGAGGATCCACAATAGCATATCCTGAACTTCTTGGAGATTAGTGACACTTATATCACTAACGGAGTCACTCCAGACTATGTGAGGCTCACACTTTTTCCATTCTCACTGTTGGGCGAAGCAAAGCGATGGCTAAAGACAGAACCAGCTGATTCTATTACCTCATGGAATGATTTGGTAAGAAAATTTCTGGCAAGGTTCTTTCCTTCAAGCAAAACTGCAAAGATCAGAAGTGAGATAGTTTCCTTCAAATAGTAAGTGCGAGAGTCTTTATACTCAACTTGGGAGAGGTTCAACGGGCTAATCAGAGACTGTCCTCATCACAACAGACATAACTCACACTTTCATAGAAGGTCTACATCCTGAAACAAAGATTGTGGTAGATGCTACAGCTGGAGGTCAAGTATTGGAGAAAAGCCTTGACGAGATATATGCATTATTGAACAAATTCTCCAAAAATCAATCCGGATTGGCAATGAGAGATAGGCAGACACACAGTGCAAAAGTCTGCAGGGGTTCTTGAGTTAGATGTCGTCTCAGCACTATCAGCGCAGATTTCTACACTGATCAACCAAGTCAATCAGATGACCTTGATTATCAACAAGCAACAAGCACAACTGGTACAACAGGTTCAAGTGTTTTGTGAAATATGTGGAGAGGGTCACACGAGCGACTTATGCCCCACTAATCCAGAGTTCGTCTGCTTTGTGGATAATGCAAATAGGGGCCAAACAAACCAATATGGGAACCCTTACATTCCCAACTGGATGAACCACCCAAACTTCTCTTGGGGTGGAAACCAAGGTACTCAGAATCAATACAGGCCTCAAGCACCTCAACAGCAATATAGACCACCTCAGGTTTAACAACAAGCGAGTCCAATAAATCACCTTGAAGACATGTTGAAAAAAGTGTTGGCTGAACAGCAAGCCCTCGCTCAGAAATTTATGGCTGAGTAGCAAGCCCAAGCCGCAACAATGAGTAATTTAGAGCTCCAAATGGGACAGCTAGCCAGTGCTCAAAACGCTAGACCAGCTGGAGCTCTTCCAAGTGACACCGAAGCTAATCCTAAGGCATCCCTTAGCGACGTGTCGTTGAGGAATTGAAGACAATTAGAAGAAGTTCAGTCTAAAAAGAGGAAATAGGAGACTTTTAATGAGAGGCCAGCCACAATAGAATCAACATCAGAAAAATCTAAGGAGTTAGAGAAGCCAGCTGGAGAGGCGGTGGCTGAGGAACCCCCACCATTGGTTGCAAGGCCACCACCTCTGTTCCCTCAAAGATTGCAGAAAGTAAAGGATAACACCGCATATAAAAAAGTTTCTTGATATTTTGAACCAGGTGCAAATTAATATTCCATTGGTTGACATCTTACAAGAAGTACCCAAATATGCAAAGTACATCAAGGACATAGTGGCAAATAAAAGGATGCTGACCGAGTTCGAAACTGTGGCACTCACTGAGGAGTGCAGTTCAAGAATTCAAGGCAAGTTACCTCAGAAATTGAAGGAACCAGGTAGTTTCACTATCCAAATCTCGATTGGCAAACATGCAGTTGGGCGAGCTTTATGCGATCTTGGAGCGAGCATCAATTTGATGCCGCTATCTGTGTTCAGACAGTTGGGATTGGGTGAGCCACGCCCAACAACAGTTATCATACAGTTGGCCGATCATTCCCTTGCTCATCCTGAAGGAGTGATTGAAGATGTGATAGTTCAAGTGGGTTCTTTCATATTCCCTGCTGATTTCATTATCTTGGATTACGAGCCTGATCAGGACGTCCCATTTATTTTGGGGCATCAATTTTTAGCCACGGGCCGAGCTATTATCGATGTCTGCGAGGGAAGGATGAAAATGAGAGTGGGTGATTGAGTGGAGGTATTCAATGTTTATAAAGCTCTCAAGTTACCAGCCCACTATGAAGAGCTATCCATGATTTCTGTGGTGGAAAGTGATGCTACATCATTATTGCCTTATATGAGCCCTATAGATCCTCTTGAACGAGCTTTGATTGGGGATGAAGAAGATAGTAAAGATGAAATGATGGGGGAAATTGAGCAAGTACTTGATATGTCCTGCAATTATGTCCATGGGTTTGGAAAATTTGAGGAGTTGGACAGACCTGTCACTCTGACCCCTCCTAAGCCATCTAGTGAAGAAGCCCCAAAGCTAGAACTTAAGCCTCTACCAGTGCACCCGCATTATGCTTATTTGGGGAACTCTAAGACATTGCCCGTAATTATCTCCTCCAGCTTGAATAACACTCAAGAAGAAAAATTGCTCAGAGTCCTCCGCGAGCATAAAAAGGCTATTGGGTGGACTATTGCTGACATCAAGGGAATTAGTCCATCATTTTGCATGCATAAAATCTTTTTGGAGGATGGACACCGCCCCAGTGTGGAGCAGCAGAGAAGGTTAAATCCCATTATGAAAGAGGTTGTGAAAAAGGAAGTAATCAAATTACTCGATACAGGTATCATCTTTCCTATTTCCGACAGCAACTGGGTAAGCCCAGTTCAATGTGTGCCCAAAAAGGGTGGAGAGTCTGCATTGATTATAGAAGGCTCAACAAAGCAACCCGCAAGGACCACCTCCCACTTCCTTTCATTGACCAAATGCTGGACAGATTAGCCGAGCATGAATATTATTGCTTCCTTGATGGTTATTTGGGATACAATCAGATATTCATCTTCCCAGAGGACCAGGAGAAGACCACTTTTACTTGTCCTTATGGCACTTTTGCCTTCAAGCGAATGTCGTTGGGTCTTTGCAATGCACCAGCCACTTTCCAGAGATGCATGATGGCTATTTTCACCGACATGGTGGAAAAAATTTGTGGAAGTTTTCATGGATGATTTTTCAGTCTTTGGGTCATCTTATGATGATTTTTTGAGGAATTTAAGCAAGGTGTTGGCCCGTTGTGAAGAAACTAATCTGGTACTGAACTGGGAAAAGTGTCATTTTTTGGTACAAGAAGGCATCGTGTTGGGTCACAGACTATCTAGGAGCGGCATTGAAGTTGATAAGGCGAAGGTGGAGGCAGTTGAAAAATTACCTCCACCTATTTCAGTGAAGGGTTTCCGGAGTTTCTTGGGACTTGGGACATGCGGAATTCAATCGGCGCTTTACTAAAGATTTTTCTAAAATTGCTACTCCTTTGTGCATGTTGCTTGAAAAAGATGTAACTTTCAACTTTGATGACGCCTGCCTCAAGGCCTTTGAAGAACTCAAAAAGAAGTTGGTGTCTGCTCCCATTATTGTGGCACCAGATTGGTCCTTACCATTTGGACTTATGTGTGATGCGAGTGACCATGCTATTGGGGTAGTGCTAGGCCAGAGGAAGGACAAGGTGTTTTATTCCATCTACTATGCGAGTAAGACTCTTGATGATGCACAGCTGAATTACACCACCACTGAAAAGGAGTTGTTAGCTGTTGTGTGGGCCTTTGAAAAATTTCAGGCATACTTGGTGGGAACGAAAGTCATAGTCCATACCGATCATGTAGCAATCAGGTATCTGTTTATAGAAAAGGAATCTAAGGCTAGATTGATGCGCTGGGCTTTGTGGCTGTAAGAATTTGATGTAGAAATACGATATCGAAGGGGGACAAAGAACCAAGTAGCTGACCATCTATCAAGGCTGGAAAATCACGATCACGTGGAGGAGGGTGGCCAAATTAAAGAAGTATTTCCTGATGAGCAACTTTTTGCTATAACCCAAGACCCTCCCCCATGGTACGCAGACTATGTCAATTATCTTGTAAGTGGGGTACTTCCTCCTAAAATTGAAACTGAAGCTAGAAAGAGTTTCTACATGATGTGAACTTCTACTATTGGGATGAGCCATATTTGTACAAGCAATGTGCTGATCAATTGATGAGGAGATGCATTCCAGAAAAGGAGGTAGAATTAGTGTTGTATGATTGTCACGCATCACCATATGGGGGCCATCATGGAGGAGATAGAACAGTTGCAAAGGTACTACAATCCGATCTCTTTTAGCCAACTTTATTCAAGGATGCCCATGCATTCGTTAAGAAGTGTGACCAATGTCAAAGAACAGGAACAATCACAAGGAGGCATGAGATGCCTTTGAATAACATCTTAGAAGTTGAGCTTTTTGATGTGTGGGGGATAGATTTTATGGGACCATTCCCATAGTCCAGAGGAAACAAATACATTTTGCTAGTAGTTGACTACGTGTCAAAATGGGTGAAGGCAATTGCTTTGCCAACAAATGATGCCATGGTGGTAGCTGCGTTTGTGAAAAAGAATATATTTTCGAGATTTGGGACTACATGTGCCTTAATTAGTGATGAGGGGACTCATTTTTGCAATCCGTTATTGAATAACCTGCTAGCTAAATATGGAGTTCGCCACAGAGTTGCTACAGCATATCATCCTCAAATAAGTGGGCAAGTTGAAGTGTCAAACAGAGAAATAAAGCAGATATTAGAGAAGCCAATGAGTGTGAATAGGAAGGATTGTGCTGCAAAGTTACAGGATGCCTTATGGGCGTATAGAACTGCATATAAAACGCCAATTGGGGCGTCCCCTTGTAAGCTTGTTTATGGGAAGGCATGTCACCTGCCCGTTGAACTTGAACACAAAGCATACTGGGCCATTAAGAAGCTGAACATGGACCTTGAAGCCGCGGGCGAGAAAAGACTTTTGCAGTTGAATGAGTTAGGTGAATTCAGGCTGCACTCCTATGAAAATGCTAAGCTTTATAAAGAAAAGACAAAAAGATGGCATGACAAGCACATCAAGGCGCGTCACTTCGAGCCAGGCCAACAGGTATTATTATTCAATTCTAGGCTAAGGCTATTTCCTGGAAAGCTAAAGTCGAGATGGTCAGGCCTGTTTGAGGTGGTGAGAGTCACTCCTTATGGTGCAATTGAGTTGCGAGCTTTAAATGGTGAAAGAAAATTTTTGGTGAGCGGACATAGAGTCAAGCACTATTGGGGAGGAGTAATTAATCGTAAGAAGACCAAGGTTGTACTCGCTGATGAGTAAGCGAGACTCTGCGTCGTGTCGCGATGTTAAATCAGGCTCTTGTTAGGAGGCAACCCAATTTTTTTTATTTCTTTCCTAGTTTAACTTCTTAATTTGTATTTTTTTTTGTAGGCGTAGAAATTATAAGTAAAATGGTGTAGGATATGTAAATTGGGTATATAAAAGGCTTGGGGGATCGGGATGCACAAATAAAAGAAAAACAAAAATAAAAAATAAAAAAATAAAAAAAACTTTACCTGTACACCCCCAGCCCGGCGCCTCGTGCCCTGCCTGGCGCTGGGGTTTTGAAGTTTCTGTTTTCAGCGCCCCAAGCAGCGCTGGGCGCTGGCCTGGACGTTGTTTTCAAGAATTTTCTTTTTTTTTTTTTTATGCATCCCGATCCCCCAAGCCTTTTATATACCCAATTTACATGTCCTACACAATTCTACTTATAATTTCTATGCCTACAAAGAAAACACAAATTAAGAAGATAAACTAGGAAAATAAAAAAAATTGGGTTGCCTCCCAACAAGCGCCTGATTTAACATCGCGGCACGACGCAGAGTCTCGCGTACTCATCAACGAGTACAACCTTGGTCTTCTCACGATTAATTACTCCTCCCCAATAGTGCTTGAATCTATGTCCGATCACTTTCTTTCACCATTTAAAGCTCGCAACTCAATTTCACCATAAGGAGTGACTCTCACCACCTCAAACGGGACAAAAATAAAAAAAACGCTACAAAAAACTGCTGCTTCTGCCGCATTCCTCTTCTACTACTTAACAACAGGATAATAAGAATAACAACAACTAATATAGAGACAGAAGTAATCACGGAAAGAACACAGCTCAGCATAGAGATAACAACCGGAATCTCCCAGGATACCGTCTTGTAGTCCCAAATAAAAATATCCAGTGGATCTCCCAGGGTACCGTCCCGTAGTCCAACTCATAGTGCGCGAGGATCTACCGGAATCTCGATCCGTAGTCCCAAATGTAAATACCCAGTACTGGGGGAATCTATCGGGTGCAGTCCAGTAGTTTCAATATAGAAGTGCAGGGGGAGCTCCCGGAATATCAATCCGTAGTCCCAAAGTAAATAGGCAGGGGGGATCTCCCAGGATTCCGTCCCATAGTCCCAAAGTAAACACATAGCAGCAACACGAAGAATACTCAATTCAATTCAAATTTCATACCAAGCTAAAACAGGTATTTCTAACCTAGCATGCTGCACATAATCCCAATAAGGCAGTTTGAGCAAATAAAGCAATTAAGGCAATTAGACATGCTTCCCTATGCTAACAGCAGGCTTAAATTGCAAGTAGTATAAGCAGGAAAGGAAACACAATTAGAGTTACTTAATGAAAACATGATTTTTCAACATTTAGCACAAGTACGCACTCGTCACCTCACGTACAAGGCATTTCAAATACCAACAATACCAAATCCTAAGGGGAGTTCCCCCACACAAGGTTAGGCAAGCCACTTACCTCGAACCGGCTCAAAATCAACCCGAAACCACGCTCCTTCCACGAGTACTCGACTCCAAATGGCCCAAATCTATTCAATTCAATTGTATAATGTAAATATAACTTCAAGTAACTGATTCCACTAATTAAATTCTAAACTAATACGCGAAATTAGGGAAAATGACCAAAACGCCCCCCGATCCCACATCTCAGAATCGGGTAAAATTTACAAATTTAGAATCCTCACACTCTCACGAGTTCATACATACCAAAATTATCCGCATCCGATGTCAAATCCCCAATCAAAACTCGAAACTTAGGCCTAAGAACTTTTTCCAAAATTTTCCCCAATTTCTCACCCCAAATCCGAAATTAAATAACTAACAATAGATTAATGAAATACAACT